TTGAGACTTAGAAAGGACTACGACAGTTTGCCAAGGCATAGAAAGAAAATACGTATTCCATATTGTAGATTACATACACAAGAAGAAAGCAAAAACTATCTAGTCTTAATAACCATTTCCAGAGAAATAAAATATTTTAATTTTCAGTGCTTCCAAGTGCTTTAAATTACAGAGTACTAAATAAATAATAGTTTCACTTTTTTTTCATTTCCATATATATTTGTAACTGACAGTAAAAGAGTTTTTAAAATTTTAACAAAAATATTTAAAGGCTACAAGAGCAATCATAATTTTCCCCAATGATTATGGAGTCACATTGCATAGTTTGAGCTTGTATGGTTATTTTTTATGGTTCTACACTACTGTTCATAGTGAGGAATGCCTGTATATCTTTCTCTGCTTGTTCCCTTTAGTAAGGGAAAAACAGTCCCAACCACTCTTAAAAATTTGTATTCTTTTTTTAATTGAAATATAATCAGTTTATAATGTCTCAGTTTCTGGTGTACAACATAATGTTTCAGTCACACATATACATATACATATTCCTTTTCATATTCTTTTTCATTATAGGTTACTGCAAGATACTGAATATAGTTCCCTGTGCTGTACAAAAGAAACTTATTTATTTTGTATATAGTAGTATCTGCAAATCTCAAACTTACAATTTATCCCTTTCTATCGCCTTTCCTCCTGGTGACCATAAGTTTGTTTTCTATGTCTGTAAGTCTGTTTTGGTTTTTTAAATATATTTTTTCAACTCTTAAGGAAATTTATTTATTATTTTTAAAAATTTTAATATTTTTGGAGGGGGAGGAAGTAATTAGGTTTTTATTTATTTATTTTTCATGGAGATGCTGGGGATTGAACCCAGGACCTTGTGCATGCTAGGTACACACTCTGCCATTGAGGTATTACCTCCCTCCATGTGTTTCTGTTTTATAAATAAGTTCATTTGTGTCTTTTTTTTCAGATTTCACATATAAATGATACCATATGATATTTTTCTTTCTCTTTCTGGCTTCCCTTAGACTGACAATCTCCAGGTCTATCATGTTACAGCAAATGGCATTATTTCATTCTTTATAGCTTAGTATTCTACCACAGTATGAATATACCACAACTTCTTTATCCAGTCATCTGTCGATGGACATTTAGGTTGTTTCCATGTTTTGGCTATTGTAAATAGTGCTGCTCTGAACATTGGGGTGCATATATCTTTTCGGATTAGAGTTCTCTCTGTATAAATGCCCAGGGGTGGGACTGCTGGATCATATGGTAAGTGTATTTTTAGTTTTTTAACTATGGCTGCACCGAACTATATTCTCACCAACAGTGTAGGAGGGTTCCCTTTTCTTCACAGCCTCTCCAGGATTTATCGTTCCAACAACTCTTATATAGGGGAGTTCTTAAACTTTTTTTTTTTTTAAATGGAGGTACTACGGACTGAACCCAGGACCTTGTGCATGCTAAGCATGTGCTCTGCCGCTGAGCTACACCTTACCCACCCTCTATCTTTTGCTTTTAATTTCTTTAGGTTGAGACTGACTAGGATCTCCGTTTTATGAAATTATTTAGTTTTTAGAGTTTTTGTATATTGTTCTGAAACACTGATTGAATTACAGCTTTTCTTCTTTGTAGTTCTGTTTACCCCCTCTGTCATACTGTCACTTTTTTCACTTTTAATAACAGAAGTTTAGTAAGAGACACTGTTCTTTAACTGATGTTGGTCAGTTGTCTGCCTTGTTTCCTTTTCCTTTCCTCCTTTCTTCATTTTTTCCCATAGTTTTCATGGAGGTATGTAGAATTCTAATGATTGTATGAACTAAAAGAAAAAGTAAAAAAAAAAATTAGTTTCCTTTTTCAGGACATTAACATACCCTTTATTTTTCTCACCTCTTTTTCTACCAGTTAAGCCTAGAGCCACGCGAGATACGCTGTTTTCCGTGTTTGTATGGATGCTAACTTGGTGTTAAAAGCTGTTTAAAACTTTTCTCAAAAGAGTAAAAACTCACTGGGCAGTATGGAAGGCTGAACTTCTCTTCTTAATAGCAGTTGTAATAATAATTTTATAATTGGCACCTGCTCTGTAGTTTACTTTCACTGTGAGTTTTTGCATTTCAGCCTTACATTAACATAGTGAATGTAAGCAGATAATTTTTATATTTCAGAAATGTGGAAAGTGAAATTCTGAAGTGTGTGATTTGCCCAGGATCACATAGGGAATTTATAATACTTTCTAGTGACAGGCTGGGGAGGTGGCAGAGTATAATGTGTAAAAGACTGCAGTTTTGAAGTCATAGTTGTGGACTGAATAGATGTGTGGTTTGGACAAATGACTTCTACTTTCTGGAAACCAGTTTTATTTTTTGTTATATGGATGTTGTTTTGAAATGTCTATGCAACAACATAGAAAGGTCTGACTTGAAGTTAAGGCATTCAATAAACAGCTACTACAATTAGTATGATAATAATTATTATTACGGTAGCATCATCATCACCTCAGTCTCAGGAGGTATGATTTCAAAATTTGAGTCATGTTAGGTATTTGCTGTATTATAATGTTGGGTCTGTCTTCTCTCTGCTTTGTTAACATTCTGTACTTAACAGCTGTCATAGAACTTACCATATATCTGGCTGTAATTGACTGTTTACTTATTTTCCTCCCCTACTAGACTGTGAGCTCCTTGAGAAAATAAGTGTAATAGCAATTTGCTTGCTACATTATTTGTAGGGTTAATAAGAGAAGATTCAATGGTTTGAACTCACCAATGAAACACTTAATATTCACACTAGGTGTTTGTGGTACTAATAATATCTACCTAATTACTGACATATTATTCCTGATAGACCTTGCTTGTCGCCGTAGGAAACCTGATGTGCTTTAATGAAGTATAATTTTGGAAATGACTAATACAGCTTGATAGAAAAAAATCATGCAGTTTCAATGCTGGATGGACCCTTAGAGTTCATGTATTGTTCCCCTTTCATTTTCTAGAAGAGAAAGCTGAGGCCCAAACAGGTTAGGTGCTTTCTCTAAGGTTGCACTGTTGGTTGGTGGCAGGATTTTTTTAAACTGATAACCCAGGAGAAGAGCAGTGCATCTAAAATCATCAAAATAAGGTGATACATGTTGCCATTTAAGGAAAACCTTAATTTCTAAGGCTCCTTGTGTAGTGGAGTTTAAGATAGGAGTATTAAGAAAACTGTACATATTTTTACCACTTACCTGTAAGTGCTTGACAAATAAATAATATAAAACTGTAAATTTCCAAAAAGAAAGGTAGGAAGAATGCATACTAAACTCTTGGTATTGGTTTCTAAGGGGGCAGAGATTAGAGAGAGAAGGGAGAAATTTTTTTTTCCTATATTCTTTGGTATTCATTAACTTTTTACAATGAGTATATAATAGTTTTATAGATTAAAAGCCCTATAATATAGAAAATTGCTTTTAAAAAAACCCATGAGAATGAAAGTTGATACAAAGTATGTAGGAAATGTGAGACAAGTCTGTCCTCTTTGACCTGACTTTTTAAGTTGGGGGAACTAAATTTTATATCTGAAAAAGATATCTTTTATATTTTTTATTCTTACAAAGAATTTATGAAACAATTAGAAGAAACAACATCATGAACTGCATGATTGATTAATGTTTAATTTGTGTAGGCAGTGTTTATTATAGAAATTCATAGGAGAGAGTTCATAGCAGTGTATAGGAATGATGTTAAAATTATGAATATTAGATTATAATCATTTCCATTGTAGTAGATTATATTTTGTTCACTGGTACAATAATATGTTTGGAAGTTATCTACAGAGTTTACCAACTTTATTTTTGTTGTACACTTGATTGTTTTTGGATGGCTCACACAAGGTATTCTCAAGTATTCACAGGAAGTATATATTGTTTTACCACTTACTAAGCTCATATTTGGATAGGACCAATAAGTTACCTTGTTTATGGAAGAAAAAGTCATGCTACTAGAAAAGTAAACTTTTAGAAAACAACAAAGATCAGATTCAGTATTGACTGGTCAGCTGCCACTATTTTGAAATTAAAAAGATCTTATATTTGTTTCCATTCTTTACTTTTTGGGTAAAATGCTCCAAAGCATAGTTTGAAATTATGGAAAGCTACAATAAATTCACTGTAGTAAGTGTGGATATGCATTGTTGGCAGAGGCATCTTGCGGACAGATCACATTGCCTCTCGAGTGCAAGACCTATTAAACAGTCATATGAATTTGAGTAAATTCGCTTCTCTGGATGTTATGTTTCTTACCTATAAAGATGAATTAACAATAATATCCTAACAAATATTAAAGTTGGATTTAACTGAATTTTGTAGCTTATGAAAATCGTTTACAAAAAAAGTGATAGTGTTGATAGGATTCCTAAAGCTTCCCTAGCATCAGAAAGCACAGAATAAAGTAGTTAATAGCATGCAGTATGCTGGATAATATCTTCACTAATTTAATACTGATTTTTAGTAATGAGTTTCATAGGCTATTCAGTGAATGTGGCTGTTGAAGGCCAGGGTAATTGCTTCTATTAATCTGGCTTGATGCAAAGAAAGAGCACAGTGTCTCATTCTAATTTTTTTTTTTAAATTTTCATTTTTTGTTTAACTGAGTTGATCTTGCTCTATGTGTTTAGAATAATTCTAAGGCAAATAAAATCTCATTTTTACCTAGAAACAAATTCATATCTCACAACTGTATTTTGTTTCAGTTAACAAGTTGTGGCTATTTTTATCACAGTTTCTGATCATTGGTAATCTTTTATGTGCAAAAATTAAGATCTGGTGATTTAGATAACTTATTTCTATGTACTTTTATCATGTATCTTAATGAATTCTTATTTGTGATGTTTTTAAAACACTAAATCTATTTGTAAGTACAGAACTTAGATTGTATAGTTATTATAAAAAGCTTTTTGCAGACTGGGCTTCTGTATATTCTTGATACCTTATTTCTCCTTTTTTTCCCCCCCAATATTTTCAGATGTTTTGGAATGTTATTAAGCCCAGGTCGAAACGTGAAGAACAGTGACATGCACTTACTGGATATGGTAATGATAATCTTAAGCACCTTAACCAAGTATAGATGATAGTTATTTTATATTTTTAAAGTATTTTCTGTTGTAAGATTTTGTCATATTGTCAAAATTGTTTCTAACTTTCAGCTGTATGATAGTAGTAATTTAATTTGGAATCCCAAATTTAAAATTACTTTTGAAGGAGAGAAGAGAATTTCCATCAAAAAATAATATGCAAGTTGAAAGCAAATAAAAGGATAGTGTTTTTGCAATGTCCATCTATTCGTCTGGCTTCTTGGAAGATGTCCTTTCTTTGAGCCAAAAATAACAAAGTACATGATTATAATAGGCACATCCAGAGTGAATATGGTGCCCTTCATTTATTTTAATGCAATATTATTAATTTGAGTACTGTGAGGGATGCTTTTGTTTTCTATTTAAAGCATTTCCCTTTCTGAATTTTTCCTCCTTGATTACCTGTCCTTAGCAAAGTATATTTACGGTAGAAATAGTATTTATTTAAGGAATGCCCTTAAAGGTTAATATATATTTAAGGCTTGGTATTTGATGTAAAAATAGCAGACCATCTTAACTTTTAAACAGAAATACTTGCTAAATTTGCAGTTAATGGAAACATTTACTTTGTGATTTAGAATATTATAGGAAATAGTCATCTTAGAATAAGTATAAAGTCCTTAACTTAACTGAGATCTTTATGTGTAGCACTACACGTTTTCTTCCTTTCAACTGTGTTTTGCAAATGTCAGTTAAATGTCGCCAATTATATCAACTTTTTCTTTGAGTTATTTCATAGTAACATCACATTGATTTTCTAGTGGTTTATTCTGCCTTTCTGAGCACCTAGTTGGGTACCAAGCATTGTGTGAAGTGCTGGCGTTGAAGATATGGTATACAACATGGTTCTTACCATCTGTGGGTTGATAATCTTTTTGATGGAAACAGATCTTCTAAGTTTGTAATGACAGTAATGGGTTAATGAGCCACAGAAATGTAGGGGAAGCACTGCATGGATAGGTAAGGTAAGGACAGCCAGTTACATTGAATGTGAAGAAAAATTAGCTGTTGGTTCATCTCTCTTCCATCCCTCTTTACAGCATATCAGTAATGCAAGTAGTTTTTCTGAGGCAAGACATAGCATTTTGGAGCCTTGAAAATTCCGAGAGGAGGTAGTTTCATGAACATTAAACACTTACAAGCTCCTAGGTCCTAATTAGTAATGATTTTCAGAGTTTAAAAGGTTAAGATGAATTACTGGCAGAGATTTTACCATAAAACCTAAGTTTAGAAGATAGAATTTCTGATCCTCCCGAGTCTAAAGTGTTTCACTTGCAGTGCAGTCCTCCACCTTTAAGAGTCTGTATTGAAATCAGAGGATTCGTCAGCATTGAACTCGTGGAACGAGCCATGGGCTTACCTGTACAACAAATAGTTGGTCAAGTGGGAGGGTTTGTGTGGACAGTTACCAGCAGTTGTGATTGGTTATTACTCGGTGCTGTTAATCTTGATACTGTCTTAATACATGGTTTTTGAGCTTCAGCTGGACTGCATCTAATAAAAAGGAGCTTGCTACCTCATAATGAAGACTATGGGACGGTTCTGGTTATTACGTGTTATATCTTTGTAGTCTCCTGAAATCATGTTCCTTGCAACTGCCTACTTTGTCTAAGTTCTGCCCTCTAGAGCATGATGTTAATACTTCTGCTTCTTCCATGACATATCCAAATATGGGTGCACTTTGAAAACAAATTTCACCGTATACTTTATTCTGACAAACTTTGAAAAAGCATTCAATTATGTTTAATTTAATTTCAGAATTTGTGAGACTTTTCTATTTTACTTGAATAATTTTTAGGCAGTGCTGACTTCCCTGAATGCTGAATACTTTCTTGTAAGCAAGGAAAACTGAGACTTTTCTATAAATTTATAAATTTGTTTAATATAGGATCTACATGAAAGAGAAAGTTATTTATAAATGAAAGTGTATTTTTCAGTCAAATAACAAAATTACTTCTATATATGTTATATATATCATATAAACAAAATCACATGTAAGTAAAGTTAGTTTGGTTTTTTGGGTGGTACAAATAACAGACTTTGAATTTTCTTCCGGTAGTGAGAATATTTTTGGTGAAGATACTTGTGTTGTAGGAATAGAGAAATGAGAATTTTTGATCCCCAGCCATTGATACTTAGGAAAACTGTAACAGCAAGGTAACCCGAAAGAGCTGAGACTCGGTACAGCCAGGTTTCGTGGAGCTGGAACACAACTTAAAATCTTAGGGATGCCTCAGAAAGTCTGTGGATCTTCACCATTAACATTTATTGACACTAGGCCAATAGCTGGACTCAGTTAAGAAATAAACTTTACATTGTAATCCAGTACACTTGTAATCTGTACGTATAAAAAAGCTGAAGTAAAATTCATATGAAACGGTCCTTAACCCTTACAATGTGTGATGGACTCGGCTGTTTTTTTCTTCTACTTGGATTAAAAAGTCTAGTTATGATCCACTAAATTGATTTTATGACCCACAAATGGGTCACAAACTGCTCTTTGGAAAACATTGACCTGTTAGCTCCGTAAAGTCAGGACCATTTTGGTTTGTTTTCCTTGCTGGATGCTCACAAGCATCGCGCATGACTCATAGTAGGCTCATATTTGCTTAATGAGTGGATGCATTAGTGTGACTTCACACTTTTTACCTTTTGTGTGTGTTATCTCCTCCTTCTAGTGCCGTCTGTGTACTTTACCCTGCTGTCTGCCTACTTGACCTCATAGCTTCAGCTTATTCATAACTTGACAATAGGTCATTCATGGCTTAGTGTGTGATTCTTTAGCCTTGTTCCCATTGCAAAGTGCTGTATTCTTTTTATGTTTCCTGGTTTATGAAGAAGAGGGGAGTGGGGAGGGTATAGCTCAAGTGGTAGAGCGCCTGCTTAGTAAGTACGAGATCCTGGCTTCAATTCCCAGTACCTCCTCCAAAAATAAATAAACCTAATTACCCCCCAATAAAATAATTAAATAATATTGTAATAAATAAAAATTTTATAAAAAGGCATCTGGTGGTTCCATCCTGGCTTAGTTTGGGCAGAGGTATTTTGTTGTCCAGATGTCCTTTACCTGCTGTCCGTAGTCTTCTCATTTTTGTTAGGAGAGTTCAGGAAAGAACTCTAAAGCAGAGATTGTGAAATTATCTTGATGAGTGGATGGGAGCCAGCTAAGCTATGTAATAGAAATGTCTAGAATGTCTAGTTCAATAACAATAAATAAAAATGGCTTTATGAGGAGGAACTTTTATTGAGGGCTTTTGATGTGTAAGACAGTGTTACTGTGGTCATGTGTGTGGGACTAAAAAGAAATAAAAATATGCTTTTGTTTTTTTGGTTAGGCTATTTTGGTTACAAGAGACAAAGAATCTCTTAGATCACCTTAAAAGAGTTATTGATCTTCATGAAGTTGTACCTAAGCCTGCAGAGTGGTCTCTGCTCTCTGGTCTCTTCCTGTCTGTCTCCCCTCCCAGCAGGGGCTTACTCTTTCTGTGAGCTTCTTTCTTGCTGCTCCTGCTCTCCCAGCCTGGTGCTCCACCCCTCTTCTCTCTTTCTGTACCTTCTTCTCTCCCCCTTTCCCTGCCTTTCCTTCCCTCCATTCCCTGCTTCTTTCCTTCTCTCTTTCTCCCTCTCCTCCCCTTTTTATCTCCCTTCCTGCCTCCTCTCTGCTCTTCTCTCTCTGTTCCTCACTCTCTCTGCCCTCTCAACTGGAGTTCTAGTATCTGCTTTTATTTTTTTGATGGCATGATTAATTATTTTTAAGGATTCTTTTTGGGTATTTGTTTTCTCCATTTTTCCCTTACCACTTAGCAGTTTCCTGATACTCTGTTCTTCTTTCTGTATTTCCCCTGCATTAAATTCTAAGTTCGTTTTGTGTGCAGCCTGTCATCACCTGACTTTTTATCAAAACCTTTCAGCTTCACTACTAAATGCTCACTTTCCTTGTTAATTGTAGGAAAGAATCTGATTGGTCTAGCTCATCTTGTTGGGCTCAGGCATAGTGCAGGCTCTTGTCTAGAAATGAACTGGGTTTTTTTGAATCAGGTGCTCATTCTTTTTCTGAATGGGGGTCTAAATAGAGAGTAGGGAGAGAGGATAGGCATATGGGAGGAAGGGAGGGAGAAAGAGAAAGAGAATGAATATGAATATATGAGTGTGTTGGAGGTACTGAGTGGGTTTTCTTTACATAGCCTTGAGTGTATTTCATTTCTGAAATTCAGGGTCCCTGCACTCAAGCTATACAATCTGATTAGGGAAATATCACCACTACACCAGAAAAATATGTATAGTAATTACCAAATGACTGAAATAATTTCGTAGGGATTCGGAGAAGTGTCTATGTAGGGGTAATATTGAAAAAAAATTTGTTTAGTCTGACCGTTTTAGCACTCTCTAGTCATAATATGAGAAAATGGTACAGAAAATTGAAACTGCTGTAGATAATACTCTTTTGCATATGCACATATTTGTATGCTGTTCTCCTGTGGGAGAACATCTAAGCTCTCCCGTACTGCACGTGGACTTGCATACACACACACAACTATATGTGGCCTTGCTTTCACTATAGGAGTTGCTGCCTCCTTTAGTGAGTCAAGAGCTGGCTTGGTAAAAGTCTTAGAGTGGAGGAAATGAAGACAAAGGGGAAAAGGAGAGATGGGAAGAAGGAGGGAGTAAGAATAAAGGTAGAGGGAGATAGTTAATAACCTTGGATGTTGATTACCATCCAATATTAGTCCCCTAATACTGATTTATGATTGTAAGTAAGTGTACATATATCTGACATATAGACAATAGAAAAGTATTAACTTTAAAGGTATTGTGACAAAGTAAATTAATAGTTTAAGAAAACATTAAAAATTAGAACACTAGAAGAAAAATTCTAACTTCTTTTCCTGTGATTAGTTATTAATTCAGTATAGCTATCCTAACTGTCTTCGGTGAGATCTATACTGTAGTTTTAATAGAAACTGCATGCATCTTGTATGTGTACGTCTGAGATTCTGACTACCAGCCTGAGGTAAAGTTAAATATAACTTCATGCCAATATTATGTTTTTGTGAGTCAGCATGTAAGGGTATATACCTCCTTTTATCCAAGAGTATGTGTCTCTAAATTGAAACTCTGTAGAAAGCTGTAGGAGAATTTAATATTTAAAGAAATGTTTCTGTAGAAAGAAAATAATTTACAAAGAAAGTAAGTCCCCTGTTTGATCATAAATCCAAATTTTAATAAATTGATTGCTTAAAGTAGGGTGTAATTTAAAATGGTGATTTTCCTGTTGGATACGTTCTCAGTGATTCCTGTTTGAACTTTTATAGGAATCCATGGGAAAGAGCTATGATGGGAGAGCTTATGTTATCACTGGCATGTGGAACCCCAATGCACCAATATTTCTGGCACTTAATGAAGAAACCCCCAAAGGTAAATTTTCTTAAAAGGTTGCTTATTATTTGCTTTAAGATTTACATTATGGTGAAGAGTGTTTTGCTATGTTTAAAAAAAAAATTGTGGTGCTCATTTTAAATGGAGTAATTCTTCTTTTCATACTTTATGGCATCTGAGGAAAACCTCCACTATTCAAAAGGAACTCTCCTAAAAATATGTGAATTAATTTTATTACATTATATAGAAAGCATTTGGGCTTTGTATTTCATATTCCATTGTAGAGGTGTTTGAGGGAGAAATGATGGAAAAATACGAAAGAAATGATGAAAACAAATTCTGGAATTTTTGTATGTCTTTGATAACTATTTTAATTTTTTTCTTTGTATTACAGATTGCTTATCTTTTCTTACTTACTACTTTTTCAGTCTAGTCTTTTGACCGTTAGGATCTTAGTAAAATATACTTAGGATTTCATTTCTGGCAAATACTCTTCCCCTAGTTGTTAACCTTTTCATTTTGTTTAATATGTCTAGTGTTGAGCAGAATTTTTAAGTTGTGAATAGTCACATTTGTCATTTTTCCCATTGTTACTTATTTTTATTCCTATTTTATCCAGATATCTGTTAATTGCCCATCTTATTTTTTTGCTCCTCTACTGCCTGCCTTTAAACTGAAATTTAGTTTTACCTCTTGAGTTATAATCTTACACTAAATGCTTTAATGTGATTCAATCAATAATTTATATCTAGAGAGTGAAGGATCCGCTTGTTTGATCTTTAATTTTATATTATTTAGTTTATACTCACAGTAGACTTTCAGTTAAAGACAGGAGCATTAGTGAATACTGATATAGAAATATATTAAGGAAGAGCATTAAATGATAGTTATTCTTGAATTTCCTTAACAAAAGTATTTACCAGTTTCATAAGTTGCATGCATTTGATCACACATCAAGCTATTTCATACTGAAGGCTAAAAAGAGAAAAAAATAAAGATGATTATGTAAAATTTAGCTTTTCATATATTAGGAATAAATAATCTTTACACCCACAGTTTGTTATTTCTGGATACAGGCTTGTGAATACCAGTATGTAAACTTCTTCCTTATAATCATTCAAAAAATCAACATAAAAAATAGAAAAAATAAGCCAGTTGATAATTTTGAAGAATAAAATTCAGAAATTTCAAATAATAACTTATAAAAGCAGTTTTTATCTGTTTTTAATATATGTGCTGCCAAAGCACACGTTTTTATCTGTTTTTAGTGTTAACACATAGTTCAGTTTCATTTTGTATTGTAATACTTACTTGGTCCTCAATTTAAAAATATATTTTAAAAATTTATTTGTTCTATTAAAAGAAACTATATAATACTATAAAATATGCTGATGTGAAAGCTAATATATTTTAAATTTAAAATCATTTCATATGCCAATCAAAAATGTTGACCTAATTTCTAAAATTTTTAAATAGTATCCTTGAAATTATAAATGACTCAGGAGTTATGAATCAAGAACTACAGAAGTTGCAGCCCTGAGAGATGGAATGTCTTGGACCTCTTCACTGTAACAAGTTGTATATTGTATTCTGTATTTTATATGTTTCTCTCTTACCCCTCTGCATTTCTCCCCTGAGACTCTGAGGTCCTCTGGGTTGAGTTCAGTGTCCAGAGAATCCTAGTTTTTCTTGAATTGGCAGGTAGAGTGCTTGTATTTAGTAAGAACGTAATACCTTTTTGTTGAATTTGATGATGTTAATAGAAGTATAGTTGATGAATATAGATGTTGTATAATGGTTTAAAAAGATACCATTGAAAGTTTCTTCTAATGGTAGGCTTGGTTATTTGAACTTTCCCTTAACTGAGAACTAAAAGTGATAGACAAAATAAATTGAAATAAATTTTTTAAAAATAACAGAGAAATGACAAAATAATATGGAAAAACCAAACCACAGATTCAGAAACCCCAGTGAATTTCAAGCAGGATAAATAAAATAAAATGAAAGCCGTATTTCAACTTATCATAGTGAAACTAAAGAAAACCAACAGACACTGGCCTTGCAGATCCTGGATTCAAATTAAAGGCAGGCTATGGCCAAGTAAATATTCTAAATATTAACTGAAATTTTGACTGTTAACAGTATAATGTTGCAGTCTAAAATCACTTTCCAGGACTCAGATATATATATACACATAATATATATGCTATCTATTATATATATATATATATATATATATTTTGTGTGTGTGTGTGTATATGTGTGTACATATATATATGTATGAAAACTGCACAGAACCATTTCATTAGAGCTTTGGCCACTGATTTTCCTGAGGATAAACAGTGTATATTATGGACAATAAGGATACTGACAAATCTTCAGGGACTTCCCTGAAAGCATAGAACATTGAAATACTCATTTTAATGACATTTTCTCATACAGATTTAACATAGTGAAGGTTGAGTATCTCCTCGGATTTGCTAGTCCTTCCCATGCAACTCCTCAAACAAACCTAGTAATTTCTAGTATCTCTTTTTTATAAGATGAAAAGGCAAGTCTTTGTGATTTTCCAGAGGGTTTTTGGGAAATCTAAAAGATAGTTTCAGTGTAAAAGAAGTCCTAAAATTTTAATTTTATTCATTTCTTGTATTAAGGACCTGATTTGGGAAAGAAAAAGTTAAAGTTGTCAGAGGAGATTTGGACTTTTGATTAAGATGGGATCAGAGTGTTGAGAAACATACTTGAGATACTTGATTACCTATTTATTCAAAGTGGCAATAAGACATTTAAAATTAAACAGGGAAGGTTACGTGGTTATAAAGAACCTTAGTTCTTTAACTTTATTTTCTTAAATAATCAAGTAATAATAAAGCCAGCATAAACCACAGAAAATTTCTACTACAGATAAACGAGTGTACATGACTGTGGCAGTGGACATGGTAGTCACGGAGGTGGTGGAGCCTGTCCGCTTTCTCCTGGAGACAGTAGTACGTGTGTACCCTGCAAATGAGCGATTTTGGTATTTCAGCAGAAAGACTTTCACAGAGACTTTCTTCATGAGGTTGAAACAGGTAGGACCTTTTTGTTCTTTGCATATATTTTTTTCTACCATTTTTTCTTTAATGTCATCATAATTCCTTAAATAACAATAGAAAGCAGCGAAATTCCTCAAATAATCAAATGATACATGAGTCAACCAATGGAGTGTTTGAAAAATCTGTATGTAGATAATGTAAGTTAAGAAAACTGGTAGTTATGTAGAAAAATTGTTAGAAACCTGTAATGTGTACCTGTAAAGTATCAACATACTTAATAGAAATATTGAATCTATGTCTAAAACAGCTTTTCTTCCTTTTATATACAGTTATTTAAAACCAAAAAGGGCACAGAAGTAACATATCTTTATAAAGTTATTATGAAAAAATTTCCAAATAATACTTGACTAATTATAATAGCTATTTCTACCTATAATATTATATGAATGTATAGTTTGACTTACAGTAAGGTTATAAAATTCTTTTAATAGTAAATAAACAAAATTAGGGTTTCTATGACATCCTAAATTAGACAGTGTTATTAGGTAAAACATATTTTTTGTTTTGTAAAGAAGTGAAAAATAATTTGAATTCTAATAGTGTCTGTTTTATGAAATCAGGGTAAAATGTTGTTTAAAAAATGGAAGTCCTTTACATCCTATTTAGTGCTTCCTCTCTCCCAAGTTTAAAAATGTTTGTTACTTCATATGCTATAATTTGTGAAATGCAGTGTGGTGAAAGCAAGCATCAGTACAGTGAACAAATGTAAAAGCCACTTAACCATTTTCATTTTTAAAAATACTTGTCATGCTCAGTTAGGCTTCATGTACTAGATGTTTTGAAATTGCTGTGGTTTTCATTTTTCATAAAATTTTTGGAACTTGGTTTAACATAGCTTTTATTACTGTGTGGACTGTTTTCTTTCTTTCTTTTAGTTTTTGTAGCGTATTCTGATGAAGATTATATGAACAGTATTCAAAATTTTAGTCTCCTGAGTATCTTTTCACATTTTATTATGAGACTTTTTTTTTTCTTTTCTTTTGGTAGCTTAATTGTTAATGATTATCAAAAAATTCATTTGTCATTTTGAGCCAGAGGATTATCCAGAGTTACATAAGAGTGAATAAAGGAGCTGTATAGAAAGTGGTTGTCATCATTCTAGTGACAGTTAATAAGTTATTTTGCTAGAATTTTTCCTCTTTGAGAGTTGATAAAAAGGTAGCTTTCCTTCCCCCTACAAAAGTTAGCTTTCCCCTACGTATATATTTGGCAAGATAAATAAGAACCTTGAAATTTATATAAATTTCAAGAATGTATACATTAGAGTGGATTTTTATTATTAAATGTTATTTTCAGACTTTTAAAACTGCTGATGTTAAATGACTGAATGATAAGTACCATAAGATAAGAATTTCTTAGTAATTAAACGTTAAAGATACTATGTGATGCCATTTCATGTGAATTAAAAAGATTAAATTAGACTCACTTATAATGTTCAGCTCCACTAAATGTGAGACTGATTTAAATGAATATCAAATAAGAAGATGGTTTCTAACTTCAGTGGTATAATTTAAATTCTTCAGTAGATATTGTGTTATTTTGTTTACTATTTTTATTTCTTCTTGAGTCATTTTTGGTAATTTGTATCTTTCAAGGAATCTTCAGCTTAATCAAAGATACTTAGTTTATTTCTTGAAACACTGCCTTTTTCTTTTTAATGTCTTTAGGATCTATAGAACCTGCTTTTACTTCTGATATTGGTAACATATGTTCTCTCTCTCTCTTTTTTTTAATCAGCCTAGCTAGAAGTTTATTAATTTTATTGACTTTATTTTCCCCCAAAGAAACCGATTTTGGGTTCATTGATTTCCCCTATTGTTTTTCTGTTTTATCTTCTGTTGATTCCTTTTGTTTCCTTTTTATTTTTTGCTTTGTATTTAACTTGGTTTTCTTTCTAAAGTTTCTTCATGTGAAGATTAGATCACTGAATTTTTTTCCCTTTTTCCCTAACACCTTTTCATTTTTAAGGTTATAGCTTTTCCTCTAACCACTGCTTTAACTACACCCATAAAACTTGGTTTTTGTGTGCTCATTCAATTTGAAATATTTTCCAGTTTCCCGTGTTACTTCTTCTGTGGCATAAGGATTGTTTAGAAGTATATGGTTTGATTTCTAAACCTTTCTGATACTGATTTTTAATTTTGACCAGAGGCTATACTCTGTGTGATTTGAATCCTTTTAAGTTGTTGAGACTTACTTTATGACCCAGTATAATGTCTATTTTGGTGAATGTTCCGAGAGTACATATAAGGAATGTGTATTCTACAGTTGTTGAGTGGAGTATTGTACTTCCTTTTTAAATTAAATTAACTTTTTAAATTTTTGGTAGGGGGAGGTAATGAGGTTCATTTATTTATTTATTTTTTGGGGAGATACTGGGAATTGAACCCAGGAACCTTGTGCATGCTAGGCATGCACTCTACCACTTGAGCTATATCGTCCCCCTGAGTGGAGCATTCTATAAATGTCAGCTATGTTAAGTTCTGTGATAAGTTTTTCCTGTGCTTGCTACTCAGTGTATTCACTGAGATCTCTCCATTCTTGTTGGAAAGAACAATAACAGTTCTTTGACTATTACTGTAAACAGTAGTAATGATAGCAACTGTTATTTAAATAGTGTACTACATGGTGTATATCCTCAGTACAACTCTTTTGAAGTATAGGTACCATTATTATATTCTCATTTCTCAGATAAGCAGTTAGTCACAGGAAGATTGTTATTAGGTGATAAAGCAGGAATTAAACCTATGCAGTTTGACCCTAAAAATTGTCCTTGTGAAATGCTTATGGGAAATGGAAAATATGCTAGCCACAACACTAAAATTAATATTTTTTTTTCCCAAAAACTTCCATGTGAGTTCTGGTCATTTTTGTTGTATTTCACTTCAACTTGTCTTTCTTTGCTTGCATCATCTTTGTCGACATCACTAATTACAGTAGGTTTACAGTGTGTGAAGAGTGTATAAAGAAAATCTAAGATTTGTAACGTTGAAGCATTGGCAGTGCACGGTTACTCCTCTGAGAAAGCAGGTTCTGAACTGTTGACGTTTAGTCATCTGTGATGCTAATCTGGGGGGATTAGCTTTATGCTTTATGTAGAGTCATTTGAAAACTGCTTGCAAAAAGACCCCTTCTCCAAAAGCCTTTCTAATACTAATGACTGCCTGATATTTTACTATTAGGTGCTGATTTAAAGCTTTTCTACCTGTTGAAATGCAAATATCACCAGGAGGTAGTCTTTAATAACTTTTACCAGTCACATTGTCTCATTGTTAATGAGTTTGATAAGACTGTTTCCTTAGGCTAGGTTGTATTAGGGGTCAAGATTAGGAAATCAAGAGGGCATTCCTGCTTGACATGAAGTGTTACTAAATTGAGGAGGTAAGGCCAAAGGCCTATATCACAGGAAGTGAAATTAGTTTGCTGAGATGGCCTGTTTTCATTTTAGAAATGGTTTTCACTGCATAGTTTGGTTTGTGACACAGTTATTGAGTGCCTATGACTCAGTAGGCACTAAGCTAGATATTGGGAATATATGAATGAGTAATGTATGTTCTCTGTCTTTAAGTGGGGAAGAACGTAGTGGTAAAAAGACTATACTGGGGATACATGCAACAGTATATGCAAAGTGTGGAAGTGGTGCTGACTTCATTGGATTGAAGTCAGATTTCTGGGTTGTTTTCCATCTTACCGCTACCTACATGTTTAACCTTAGGATAATCTTCATCTCTGAAATGGGAAATTTTTATTACACCACCTCATAGAGTTGTTAAAAGAAAACTCTGTTTACTTTACTACTATCACACCACTTGGCTTCTGACACCAGATGGGTGGGTGTTTTTCCTATACCAGTTAATTCTCCAACTCAACACCAGTTGGATGTCCTACAATTCAGTTAAGACACGAACTACCTGGAGTTAGCACAGACCCCACAGGTCAAGGGCTCAGTCCCACAAGACTGTCTCCCTTGTCCTTACTTCAGACACCAATTGCGAGTCCAGGTTGTTGCCTGTGTTTCTGACCAACCAGCTATAAATCGGAGGTTCCTACAGCTTCCTCCTCAGGTTTGATAATTTGCTAGAATGGCTCATAGAACTCAGGAAGACAGTTTACTTACTAGATTACTAGTTTATTATAAAAGGATAAAACTCAGGCACAGCCAGGTAGAAGAGATGCATAGGGCCAGGTATGGGGGATGGGGTGTGACCTTCCATGCCCTTTTCAGGCTTGCCACCCTCTCAGCAACTCCATGTTCACCAGCCCAGAATTTCTCAGAACACCTTAAGTTAGGGTTTTTTTTTTTTTTATTAGATACTTCATTCTATAGGCACGATTGAGTAAATCTTTGGCTATTAGTAATTAACTGAAGTACCAGCCCCTTTCCCGTCCCTGGAGGTTGGGGGTGGGACTGAAAGTTACAACCCTCTAATCATGTGATTGATTCCCCTGGTGTCCAGCTTCCTCCCTGTCCCTCAGTGTCCTTAGGGATTTTCCATCAGTCACCTAGTTAACATTTAACTCTGGTGGTGGTTGAAAGAAGCTTGTTAGGAATAACATAAGATGCTCCTTTTACCCTTGTTGCTCTGGAATTATTTCAGAGGTGAGATGAACACCAAATAGAACAAAAGATGTTTCTTTCACCTATATTGCTATGGCTGTTTCAGGAGCCAGGATGAAGAACAAAATATGTATTTCTTATTATATTACAGTATTACAGTTGTCATGATGAATAAATAGGAATTCATGTAAGATCTTTTAGGACAGTGCTTGTTACCTGGTTAGCGCTTAATAAATGTTAGCTATTATTGCTAGTAATAATGTTAATTAATACTTACTAGTTTGTCTAGTCTGTATTCTTTTTCTGGGCAGAATCCTTGGTATTTTAAGCCTAAAAGAAATGAATAAATGAATCAATAAGTGAATAACTAACTCTGGTATAAAGGTCAGGATTTTGAAGTGTGGTAAGGCAGAGAAGG